CCGCTGACCCCGGCCCGGCGGGCGGGGATCCGAGGGGCGCTGGGTCCTACCAGCAGCGGCTCTCCTGCCGGCCTGGGCTGTCCACCAGGGGGAGACAGGAGCCCACGCTCCGGTAAGAGCTCCCAGCTTCGGGATTACGACATGGCCGCGGGTCAGCGTCACTAGTTGCCGGGCAGAGTCAGCTGGGGCTGCACGCGGGAGCGAGGAAAAGAGGCGGGAAACGGGCGGGGTGATGGCGCGAGGCGTCAACGGCCACTGAGAGCATGACAGGGGAGGGGCCAACTGTTACCTGAGCGAGGGGGTTGGGGGAGGGGCCAACTGTCTCCTGAGAGAGGGGGTTGGGGGGGCAACTGTCACCTGAGCGAGGGGGTTGGGGGAGGGGCCAACTGTCACCTGAGCGAGGGGTCGGGGGAGGGGCCAACTGTCACCCTGCTTGGGCTGTCCAGCTCCAAGCACTTCTCCCACCTAGGGCACGGAGGAAGGGCCTGGGGTCAGGCTGCAGGGCTCGCCCGGCACCTGCAATGGCCCCATGGCCATCCGGGGGCAGCGCTACCCCCCAGTGCAGATGCCGGCAGAGCAGGGGACACAGCCAAGAGCCTGGGGCCCAAACCCCTTTGTGCTGGGGGTGGGGGAGGACGTGTGTCTGGGGGGTTGGTCGGGTGGGTCCCAGGGGAAGGTTCGGGGCTGGCAGAAGTTCTGAGGCCCAACCCCACAAACGGCCCTGTCCCGGCTCCCCCGGTTTGGTGCCTTGGCCCAGCCTTGGCCCTGGGTCTGGGAGGACCCGTTTGGAGTGTCTGCCCCCCGGATCCCACTCTGCCTTCAGGGGGAGCCACATGGCTTCCCTGCCCTTGGGTCAAACCTGGGAGCCGTTAGCACCCCTGCCCCACACTGTGAGCGTCCGGCAGCGAGTCCCCCCGGGCTGGGCACCTCCCAGAGACGTGTACCCCAAAGGGGGTGATGCCCCCCCAGCGTGGGCAGGGACTCAGGCAGCCTGTCACAGCGGGCGGGTTCATGAGGCGATTGGCACACGGCATAGGAAGCCCTTGGGCCAGCCCAGAGAAATGGGGTACAGCAGAGTTCCTTTGGGGGTCTCGCAGCCCCAGCCAAGCCGTGTGGACCCCTTGGCTCCCGCTCTGGGCCCCTTTGTCCCCTGTCCCCCCTTTGTCTCTAGTTCCCGGGTGAGCTCAGCCCCACCCGGCCCCTCCTCAGTTCGTGTTCGTGGCCAGGGGAATGGGGCGCAGCTCCCTGGCTGAGAGGCAGGAAGTCCACACGCTGTGGGCCGCTGGGCCTCTGCCAAGAGTAAACGGCCATTTCCCCCCCACCTAGCGAACAATGCAGCATATAGGGGAAACTGAGGCACACGCGGTATTACAGACAATTCCCACCCCGTCCCACCCTCCTGCTCCCATCCCATCCTGACAGGCGCAGTGTGACCATCCAGCGCGTTAGAGGGAGCGGGGCAGGTGGTGCCATTGGGGGAGGCCGGGTCTCGGCGGGGGACATGGACCAATGCTCCACAAAGGGGCACAGAGCAGACCCCGTGGGGAGGAATTCTGGTCACTAACATCAGAGCAGAGCTGGCACTGCAGGAGGGTAAAGGCCCCGTGTCCCATTGCCCACCTCCCTCAGCCAGCCCCTCCCCTGCCCTGGGGCTGCATCAGAGCTGGAGCCCCCTGGCGAGTAACGGCCCCACGTCCCAGTCCCCCATGGATGGTCCCCCTGAACCCTGCCTGTGGCCTGGTCTACACTTAATGCTTATCCCCGCAGAGCACAGAGCTCTGGGGGTCAGGGGTGTGACCCCACACCTCAGTACAAAGCTGTGTTGCCAAGCCCCCTGTCAGGGTTCCCTCCCCACTCTGAACTCTGGGGTACAGATTTGGGGACTCGCATGAAAGACCCCCTAAGCTTATATTCTACCAGCTTAGGTTAAAAACTTCCCCAAGGCACAAATTTCTTCCCTTGTCCTTGGACGGTATTGCTGCCACCACCAAGTGATTTACACAAAAATTTAGGAAAGGGTCACTTGGAGCCCTATCCCCCCAAAATATCCCCCCAAGTCCCTTCATCCCCTTTCCTGGGGAGGCTTGAGAATAATATACCAACCAATTGCCTTTAATGTCAGTACAAACCAGACCCTTTATCTTTAGGACACTAAAATCAATCAGGTTCTTAAAAGAAGAACTTTATTTAAAGAAAAAGTAAAAGAATCACACCTGCAAAATCAGGATGGAAAGTAACTTTACAGGGTAATAAAAAGATTTAAAACACAGAGGACTCCCCTCTGGGCTCAGCTTCACAGTTACAAAAAACAGGAATAAAATTACCTCTTAGCATAGGGAAAATTCACAAGCTAAAACAAAAGATAACCTAACGCATTTCCTTGCCCTTACTTACAAGTTTTGTAATCTTAGATGAATCATTTCAGGTATGTTTTCAGGCGATGTCCCTGCCTGGTCTCTCCCTCCATCGGACAGGGAACAAAGAAAACCTCCCTGCCCAGATTTGAAAGTATCTTCTTTCCTTATTGGTCCTTTTGGTCAGGTGCCAACCAGGTTATTTTAGCTTCTTAACCCCTTACAGGTAAGGATTCAGTACAGCTGCCCAAGAGGGATTTTATGCTCCCCTTAGCTGTATGTTTATGGCACCCCCCATGTGCACACAGCCGTTCTGCAGAACCGGGCATGTGTGGACCAGGCGAGTGCTGTGTGGGGAGGTGCTGTCCCCACATTGGGGATAGACCCCTCCTGGCAGCGCTGCGTCCACACTGGACTGGCGGTAGAGCCGCACCGCTCGGGCCCTGCCATGCAGACACAGCCCACGGCAGCGGGTGTCTGGATGGGAATTTGTCCCTCTCTGGGCTGCTGTTCTACCTGGTAACAGGCTGGTGTCACGTTATTGACTTGAACTGGGACCATATAGAACATGGTTGCAACCAAGGCCCTGTAGTGGCACCAAATCTTGTATAAAGGGAGTCAAATAAGGTGTCTAAGACAAGGTTATGGTTTGCTGGTTGTGATTATGCCGTCTGTATGTGTGTATCATTTTTGTAGTTGAAGTTATGAATATTGGCTCTATCCTGTCTGTATTTCAAACTTGTGCTATGCTTCTGGGGAAGACCCCAGACAAGCTGGTGTCAGCTCGGCCTAGCCTGCTTGATGGCCCATTAAGGACCATCAACTACAACTGACCCATTGAGAGAAGGCAGATACACCTTGTGACTCAGCAAAGAATGCAGGGACTGGCCCATGTGACTCCAGACTCCATTTTGCTGTAATTTTCCACAGTAAGAACAAAGAGGTGTTCTTACACCTGGAAGAGACTATAAAAGGCGGATGCCTCATCTCCATCTTGTCTTCAATCCTGCTTCTTACCTCTGAAGGGACTTTGCTACAAACAGAAGCTCTACTCAAAGGACTGATGACCCATCCCAGCTGGGAATGTTCCAGAGACTTGATTTGAACCTGCAGTTTATTCCATCATTGCTACAAGCCTGAACCAAGAACTTGGCCATTACTGGATGTCATTGATTCCATTTAACCAATTCTAACTCTCATCTCTATCTTTTTCCCTTTATGAATAAACCTTTAGATTTTAGATTCTAAAGGATTGGCAACAGCGTGATTTGTGGGTAAGATCTGATTTGTATATTGACCTGGGTCTGGGGCTTGGTCCTTTGGGATCGAGAGAACCTTTTTGCTTTTACTGGGGTCTTGGTTTTCATAACCATTTGTCCCCATAACGAGTGGCACTGGTGGTAATACTGGGAAACTGGAGTGTCTGAGAGAATTGCTTGTGTGACTTGTGGTTAGCCAGTGGGGTAAAACCAAAGTCCTCTCTGTCTGGCTGGTTTGGTTTACCTTGCTGTGCATAGAAACCCCAGCCTTGGGCTGTAACTGCCCTGTTTTAAGCAATTTTGTCCTGAATTGGCACTCTCCGTTGTGTCCCGCCAGAACCAGCATCATTACAGCTGGTCAGCGCACTCACCGCTGCTCTAACTGGCCAGATCCCACTCCCCTCCTACACTGGGAACAGAACCCAGGAGTCCTAGCTCCCAGCCCCCCTGCTCTAACCCACTGGACCCCAGCCCGGTCCCAGAGCTGGGATAGAACCCAGGAGTCCTGAATAGCCCATCCCCCCACTCGAACCCACTTCCCCTCCCCAGCCAGGACTATTATTGTTGCTGTATTACCGCAGGGCCGAGGAGCCCGGTCGTGCCCAGGACCTCCTTGTGCTCGGTGCTGCAGAGACGCAGAACAAAAAGACAGAACCTACCCCGGGAGCCCGGGTCCCTCACACCCAGCTCTGGGGGGGCCCTGCCCCCAGGAGCTCTCAGCCCAGCCCAGCCAGTGGCTTGGAGCGGCGTCCCGCAGGCCGTAGTGTTATCAGGGCTCCGTGTGGGTAGCTGGGCCTATGTCCCACGGGCAACCCGCTTGCTACCCGGGCACCCCAGCTCAGCCTGGACACCCTGCCAGGACCCTCCTGGGTCCCACGCCCCCACCCGCGCCCATTGCCTTTGTGTATGTAGCTCGGCCTGACCCCTGCACCCAGGCCTGGCTCCTACGGCCCCCGGTGGGGCCCGCTGGGCAGCCCCTCCCTGAAGGGTTTATTGAACGGCACAGGCCAGCGCCGGCTCCCTGCGGATCCTGGATTGCCGCGATCCCACAGCGTCCCCAAGTGTCCAACGTGCCCCCAACGTCCCAGAGGGAGGAGAATCCCATCCCCCACCCCGATCTCCCAGGGCCCCGATCCAGTCCTGCCTTCGGGGCCCTCAGCTGTGGAGCTGGGCACACACCCAGCCCTGAGTTCCATGTCCCCAGGAGAGGGGCCGATCCCCACACTGGGGCCGGTGTCGCCCCCTCAGGGACTGGACTCCCCTGATCTAACGTCCTGGTAGCCCCTGGAAGGAGAGAGCAGAGGGGATGAGTTAGGGGGTGCAATGGCCCCACTCCCACCCCCGAGAGGGGAGGACTCACCTGCGTCTGCTCCGCCAGAGCACCACGGCCACGGCGACTACGGCCACAACCCCCAGGGTGATGCCCACGACCAGGCCGGGGCCCCAGGGCCTGCTCTGCTCTGTAAAACAGGGGGTGCCGTGCTGGGAACGGGGACAGGAGTGTGGGCCCTGTTCCCTCTGCCTCCCCCACAGTCCCCCCTGCACCTCCCACCCCAACCCACTGCCCTCAGCCCCCCACCCTGTTCCATCAGTCTCCCCCACAGTTCCACCCCTTCTCCCCCCACCTTCCCACCCCCTCAGCTTCCCCCCACTCTAGTCCTGCCCCCCCCATCCCAGTCTTGTCCCGTTCCCCTCAGCTCCTCCATCCTGCTCCCCCCGATCCATCTCCACACCCCCACCCACCCCCTCTGCCTCCCTCCGCCCCAATCCCGCTGCCTGGACCCACCCCCGTCCCACTCAGGACGTGCAGGAAAAGCCCCCAGAGACCACAACCGCCCCCCCCTCCCCCGGGGACGTGCACCTACCCCAGGGGATCAGCAGGCTTCGGCCCCCCAGGCTGCTGTGCTGCACCCGGCAGGCGTAGCTGTGCCCGGCGCCCGGCCCCACGGCCAGTGAGCTGCGCAGCTGGTAGGTCAGGTCCGCGTTGGGCAGGATCCCGCTGGAGTTCAGCCGCCCGCCCGGCCCCACCTCCTCCCCATCCTGCAGCCAGGCCACGCGGACGGGCCGGGGGTAGAAACCGGTGACCCGGCAAACCAGCAGTACCGGCGCGGGGGTCCCGGCTGGGGGAGGCGCTCGGGCAAACACCACGGCGACCGGCCGCTCTGAGACAGGAGGAGAGAGACAGGGCAGGGGAGAGGGGACGATTCAGTCTGAGCCTCAGGGATTCACTAGCCAAGCCCAGCTCCATTCCCCGGGGTCAGGCGTTGGCCCCGCTGTCCTGGCCAGACCCCAATTCTGCCCCCTGCAGTTACCACTGGTGACAGAACCCCCTTCACTTCCTGTTTTAAACTGCTGTGCAGCGCAGCTATGAAATAGCTACTGTGCTGCACCCCAGATATAGCTGCATTTGTACACCAGGCAAGGGGGCCCTGGATAAACAGCCCCTGTGCCCCGCCCCAGAGGTGGCTGCATCTCAGTACCAGAT